ATAGCCCCGCAGTCCCGCCCTCCCCAGGTTACACACGCAGCCGAGCCCGCGCCTCGCTGACCCAGGCGTGTGTGCGGGGGAGGGTGTAAAGCACCGCGAAACAGCCCCCGCTTAGCCAGCCCCTTGCACGCAGCAGCTCAGCTCCAGCTCCGGCAACTTGCCCCGCAGCTGCAAGGCCTGCAAGTCCCTTCCTCCGTGCCCGGAGTCCCTCAGCCTGGGCTGCCCAACGTGCCCTGTGCAACCGGTCCCTCAGGCAGAGTTGCCGCCGGGACTGCAGAGAGCTCCATTCGCCCCCCTGGCGATAAGCCAGGGCAAGCACCCGGCGGCAGCTGCCACTCTGTGCTTGGGCCCTTGGGACGTCTGTCCCCTATCCCTGCACGGGCGCAAAGGGACGACTTAGAGGCTAACGCTCATCTGGGGGTAACACTGCCTCTTATTTTCAGCCGATTTGGCTTAGCTGGAAGAAGCTGGATTTCCTTTTCCATATCCTGGCACCAGCAGAGGCTCTGGCATTCTGCAGGTTTCACAAGTGGCTGTTTCACTGTTTTCCTCTTCCAGGAAAGACACCCCCCCTCCCCTTTGGTGCCGGGATTCATTAAGATGAGGTTACACTGGCTTTATTGTTATAATTCATTGTGGTTATTTTATCATTTAGAGCCAAGGCAATTATTTAGAGGGAGCAAGAGAGAAGAAAATAAAGAAACCCAAGAGATAAGTTAATCATCTATGCTGCTGGCCTATCCCTTATTTTTATAAAGGAACCTAGTAATAATAGAACCCTTATCGCTCCCTGAAACTCAACTAATTTTAATATTAGGCAGGGAAAAATAACTTTATGGAAACAAGCAGTTGCTGTTCTTGCAAGAAAATTCCACAAGGTGGTAGTGTGGACACTTCCTAGTGACTTTTTAAATTTTATTTTTGAGATTTTATCAATAGCTGAAAGGTTTTATTTCCATGTATTCCAGTATCTTAAATGTCCAACTGCATGTATGTTTTAAGACTACAAAACCATGTCGGATTTCAAATGGGTTAACAGCCAGGAAGCATTTCCTAATTTTAGCTTCCCTCCTTTGCTGCCTCCTCAAAAGCTAGGGAACTAGAAAGGTTTTAAAGGAAAGTTTTCACTTATATTATATTGAGGTTTGCAAAATGTGCAGAATCTGAATGTGTTTGAGATAAGTGACAACAATTTCTGTCAAAGGATGGCTAATAGAATGAAACATGAAAGTCCCTTTCTGTATTTTATTAGATCAAGTTTACATATTAAACTGTAGCAGTCCCCGTAATTCAATAAGCAGAAACAGAGACTGATGTGGTCATTTAATCTGTTATACTACATGCTTTGTATTTAGGGTTTTTTTTGAGTCCATAGGCTTTATTGGGGTGTTGATGTTTACTATAACTACGGCGATGTAAACAAATGTTCATTTTTGATACTTTGTATTTAAAAAGTAAAAAACATGTTGACTCCATAGTGATGCTTCATCAGGTTTTTTTTTTAATCTTTAAATCTAAGCAACATTTTGATCTCAGATTATTAATAACATTAAGAGTGTGTGCCTATAAATAGGGGGAACAAGTTAAAAATGCAAGGGCAAATGGATGAAATTGTTAGCAGTTACACTGAGTGAAAATTGTGTGTGTGTGTAAAAATTATATATATACACCCATTTCAATGTAGCATGGATTTCCCTGAAAATTAAATTATTTCCCATTGTGGAAGGATGGCAATATACACATTATTTATTTGTTATAATATATATTAAAATCTTTTTTGTAGTATTAATATGAAAATAACTTTTTGGGTTATCACAGAAAGTTTAAAATTCTATCATCAGTTGTAATTCAGTGGATAAAAAGCTCAGTTTTACACAGGTGGGCTAGTGTCATACTCAAAATTAAATATTTCATTTTATTTTCATTGTCATGGAATACATGTCTGTCACATCTGTTAATATTTTACAAAATTGTCTATACATATTTCCTTCAGAAGGGCTGGTGTGATGCTTTTTAGTTTTGCTGATGAAGACAGGATTGTATTCTATTTCAAGTAATTCTTAGATAATATGGAATTGAAAAGGTGTGATGAACATACTGACTTATCAATAGGTAATTTATTCAAGCAAAATATTTTATAGTAGCAGAACAGCACATTTCATAACAATATATTTTTATAAGTATATATTTAATTCTTATATACCAGTTCTCCCCAATTGAGAATTATTTTTATTTTGTTTACAAATCACATTAACTTTTTTCTCTTCAGTATGCATAGATAACACACAAATTCAATTACAGTCAATGTGTTTGTATTTGGGCTATACTAGGTATCATAACTGAAACTTTGTTTGACATTCAAACTGTGTTTCTTTGATACTACTCTTCATTTTGAGATTTTTGGGCCTGATTCAGAGCCCACTGAAGTCAGTGGAAATTTATCATTAATTTTATTGGGCTTTAGATCAGGTGCATATACTTTGTCTGCATAGAATTTCTAACATTTCAAAATGCTAACGTTTCTTGCAGAGACTGATTACTTGCCTTGTACCCTGATAAGTAGTAACATTACATCACAAAGTCAAATATTTAAAAATGCTAGGACATAGACTATAACCACAAAAATCTTTTAAGCATTATGCCAAGTGCATAGGATATTATTTTTCTGTGTTCCACAATACAGGATGATCAATTACGATAATTCTTATTGGAAAATACACAACAATAGAATAGAATTCAATGCAATTTCTAAATAAAATAAGACTACTGGATATTGGATTAAAACAGGATAATTGATACAGTGGAAAATTTACCAAAAAATCTACATGAATGGTTGTGTTCTCACAAATGATCTCTGCAGCTTGTTTAATTAGACTAGTGATCTTGAACAGGCCCTTTGACTCAAAGGAACAGTGATAAAGGGTTTGTCAAAAATGTCTGTCTTAATATGCAAATTCCAGCTGAAAGTCATTAACGGTCAGTTAGAAAGGAAGGGAAGAGGCAGAAGGAAGAGCTGCCTGATTGAAACTGTACATTTTAAAAAAACCATATGGAAACAGTGCTTTGTTTAACATGAAAAAAGTAATTCAGCGCTGCATAAAGGTGTGTACTTCTGCTTTTGACAGGCTTTCAATATGGCCTCCACTTGGCTTTTCAAAGATTCATGCTGTTCTTTGACAGCTGAATCACACAGTGTAAGGAACAGATCCACCTGGGTAGGACAGGAAAAGCATCACTGTAAACAGTACAGGATTTTAGTCATTCTGCTGTTTGAAGAGTTGTCACAAAGCACACATGTTCAAGCTATCTTTTGTGTGTCTAAGATTGTGATTTTAAAACCTAATAAAACCAAAACATAAACATGAGCCTGGAAAAGAGCCACTCAGGTCATCAGGACTCTCATTTCAAAGTACAGCTATTATCTGTCACAGTTCAACTCAGGTGTGTTCAAGCAATGTAAAGCATATATGCTCCGAATAATTTTGATCCCTATATCTGACAGGGTTATGCACGCAGCTGTCACCTTTTAATAGTTCTGTTGTGTTTGGTTTAGTTGTCCTCAGATCTG